CTACCTCTGAGATCCAGCATCGTTTAACTCTCCTCTTGGAGCGAGCTTCTGGCTTCTACAACAGCCTCATCCACAAGCTCCTTTGCAAATTGCCTAATGTGTCTTGGCCGAAGTTGGTATGTGAAAGATATCAATGTTTTTATTCGATATCCCATTTTAATGGGTAGCTTTATGTCGCCTATTTTGTTAAGTTCATGCCACCCCTCATTTAATGTCATATTCGCTTTGTATGTTTGTAGTTTATATACGAGTTATATCAGAACAAAACAAGGATCTCCGTTACGAATCACAAGTCGCATCTTGGTGCTGGGCGTCTAGATATCGACGAAGTTACTCTTCAAATGCAACTTCTTCGATCTTCAATCCGAGCTAGCCGCAGTAGTCGACGTCTTGCTGACTTGGAAAAACTGAGCGAGCCTAATGGGACGCCTGCTCCGTCGGTTGCACCAACAATACTCTCACGAGGCACCCAGTTGCCTGATGCAGATGTCTTAATTGACCTGAATCCCCAGGAATCTGAGTTTGCCAAGCTGACCACGTTTGAAACCAATACGACTACCTCGGAAGTGTCTCCAAGCAAGCCGATTTCAAACATATCTCTGTCAGATGCTGTAGTCTATCTGATTCAGCATTCCCTTATTCATCTTGGTGATGTCGCAAGGTAGTCCAGCTTTCTTCATAATCTCTGAAATTTCCTTCGCTGTATACCCGTAATATCCTGGGTCCTAAAAGGGTGTTTATTATTCTTATCCGTCACTGACTTGTCCGATATCGCAGACCCATTGGACGTGCCCATTAAATCGAGTCTTGTTATTTGGAACTTAAGTCCTGTCAATTAATTCCGTTCATCCTCTTTCAACATATATTTATAATACGGAAAATCTCGGTGAACTATGTGTCTTTTAAAACCAGTAATGGTCTGCCATGACTTTTTCCATTGTCTCACTAAATCCCTTTCTTTGTCGCCGCCGTTACTTCTGAGTGTGCTAGGAGCTTGTATTTAGGCCAGTTATAACCAAACCCTTTAAAAAGCATACATTTGAACGCCAAAGCATCCATAAAGTCGACTATTCGTTGTAGAATTTATCCGGGAATTTACTCTTCTTTCAACTAAGCTTTATTTCCAACTCCTCTTTTTGCTTCAAATTTTTTAATGATTTAATTGAATAATGCACAAGTCGTAGTTCAATAGATTTGGAGCTGATGTTAGGCTCACTAAAAGGCTCTCTTTGGTAGTTCAGTGCA